AATAAGCTTGTAAGATGGATGTTTCATTAAAAAATGAGAAAAAAAGTCAATTTTCTAGAAAAAATCTACCGACAATATGAAGTCAAATGTGTATAACTCATGATTGGCTAAAGTTTACAACATAGGTCTTACTGAATTTGTAGATCTTCAGTTAATGATTCTACTCCAGTCCTGAAAATTGAAATCGTAAAACTTTTATATTAAAAATCTTCCGTATTTAACAAACTTGATGGTAGACTCTGAGAAAATTTGTCAGAAAAGTCTGGTATAGACTATTCGATGCGGTTCCATCTCCTCTTTTCAACGGTGAAAACCGAACCTCTCTACCTAATTTCTATCAAAAGTTATTTTAAAAAAATACTCACATTTTTTCTTTTTTGAAATGGATATTAGTTTCATTAGAATTGTTGTTCTTTTATAAAGTGAGACCACTAAAATACGAATCCTTTCTCATATCATAGATAAGATGTTTTATATCATCGTCATTTCTCTCGTATGACTTAAGTCAGTTCACTATTATCACGTTTGTCATTGAAAAAAATAAATAATAGTTCGTTTTTGAAGATATTCTTCTTCATAGAAATCACTATGATAAATTAATTTATCAATATTGCCTATTATGAATTTCGACAGACTGTAATTGATTTTTCATTTATAGAATTCATGATCAGTACAGAAAGCAAATTATTTTTATCCTTGACTGCTTATGATTGATTAATTATTTTCTGATTTGATTGAAAGTCTTATTGCACACTAGTCGAATATAATAAAAAAACAAAATTAAAATTTTTTTAATTGAAAAAAATGATAAAATGCTTGCTTATATAAGACAAGATATAATATCCAGTTTCTAAAAGATATTTTAAAAGAAAATCTTTCTAGAACATTTTTATGTCAATAAATAATCTGATTATAATTAAAAATAGTATTCAAAATACTCTACATCAATTTTATATGAAAAACCACGATTTGTTAATTATGTAAGCGGCTGTCTAAAAACATTTCTTTGACCCTAACTGCTCTCAAAACAAAAAAAAGAACGAAAAAAAAAACTGTGTTTCTTTTTTTTCTCAGGAAGGAAGACAAAATTATTTTATAACCATTAGGTAGACGTTTACAGAGCCAATAGGATCACATCATCATTGCTTCATTGTATTTATAAAGCTAACAGAGAATATAAATTGTTTATTTAAAATAAATCTAACAATGTTTGGAGATATTAGTAGTGAGATTCCACTAATATATTACTAAGAAAGATGGTTATGAAATTCGTCGATACTATAAACAATATCTAGTACAAAACAAATATGAAGTGCCGGCAAAGACCGATTTTTTATCAGATACGGGATCTAGATTTTTTCCATTGTTCAAATTTATATCTAGAAATAATGATACACAAACAAAAATCTCGATGACAGCTCCAGTTATAATGCAAGGAATCATATGTGATAGTGTCATAAAACGTACAATGTCATTCGTAATGTCTCTCTCAAAATTTACATCATTAAACCAAATACCAAAACCTAATGATAAAAATATTCAAATCGTCGAACAAGATAATTTATTTGATATGGCTTGTATTACATATAATATGTCAATGACAAATGAGAGAAATGCAGAAAAAGAAAAAGAACTTCGTGAATGTGCTCATCGAGATGGAATTCAATTATTATCAAATAAATATGATGTTTTCTATTTTGGTTACAATCCTCCATATACAATTCCTCATTTTAGACGAAATGAAATTTGTATTCCAATAATTAGTCAACAATAAACTTCTCATTAAATCGACAAACAATTATTCATGAAAATTTGTAAATATAATCATAGTTGTTGCATTTTACTTTTAAATATAATATAAAGGTTATCACAATCTATATACATATATGAACTTCGCGGCTATTATTACACTTTTATTCAATAATTATATGATGAATCTTTACATTGTTTTCTTTATCAGAAAATTGTTAATTTGATCAATATAAATATGCGAAAAAATATTCTAAGTTTTCATAAAAATATTCGTTTGATGATTACATATACCAACGGTTTATTTGATTCTTTTTTTTTTTCTTAAAAAGAAACTTGGACCAATTGTCCTAGAATTTTGATAATTTTCTCGATTTTTTGTTCTGAATATATTTATTCAGTAAATAACAAAGATAAAATGAGACTAGTTATGAAGATGAACAAGATTTTTCTTTGATTAGTTTTTTTCTACTAAAATATTTCTATCGTTCATTTCGACTTGATTTTTATTATGAATTTTGATAATTAATATATTTCAATGATGATGATAATCATCAATTGGTCGGCTTTATTCAAATCGATGTATGTTACTTGTTCTGATTTATCAATAAAATCTTTAAAACAAAAATAAAAAGTTTATTGAGATTTTCACGATTTTATTTAAATGAATAACTTGTTAATAGAATTTTTTATTCGAATCAATTATTGAAAAAGAAAAGTATACACTTTATTTAAGAAATATCGAACGAGATATTAAAATATATTAGCCTTCACCTGCACGAACTTTTTGCCCGCGAATAACTTCATAACGATTGAAGTTCATATGCGTCGTTTTTTCGGCAACACTGATTATCCCATAATCTCGAATGCGATTATCTTTATTTATATCTGTACGTTTTTTTCTCCTCAGTTGTCGTCTTTGACAAAGTCTATAAAAATAAATTAAACATTAAATATATTTGACGTTAATTTATGATAAACTTATCTATGTTGCCAAAAACAAGTTCACTAATTTTCAATATTCAATAATATTGAGATCAGATTGATTATTCTTTCTCTTTAAATATCTATCGACAGAACAAAATGAACATGATAAGATAATGAATAAATAAATCATAGAACATTATTTGATAATTCTACATTTCCTAAAGTAATTTTCAAGTGATTCATATACAGTTACAGTTCAAAAAGAATAATAAAATCACAAGATACACTTATATTTAGTTGGTCTATTATCTTTCTATTTAATAACATGTAACATATCTTAGTTCGTGTAAATATTCAAAAATATAAAATAAATTATATTCACTTAGATTAACAATTATATTAAATTGATCGAAACACTTATTTATTTATTCTTACAATGTAAGTACTTTTCATATTTTGAATGTGAACATATTCTCATTATTGATTATACTGGAAGATAATTATTATTTTATTCACATACAATATATCTTCTTGTTTTCCTTGTATTACTGTTTAGTTAAGTTATATTTCTTAGTAATAATGACGACAAGAATAAATAGCATAATTGATCCAGTAATATATTATTAATAGATGATAAAAAAAAATGAGATCAACAGAAAAGAGATAAGTTAAATATAATAAATCAAACGTCTATAGAGAATCAATCATCTTCATTTATTGAAATTTGAACAATTTTCATAATTATATTCAGTTGAAAAACAAAAATAAATCTTGAAATACCTATGATTAATTATATTTGATCTATTTCGATTAACTCTATTTGACAGAACAAAAATAAGTTAACAATCTAGAATATTTCAATAACGATTTATTGAAATATTCCTAACTTGACAATAGGCATCAATCGATACAAGATTAAATTCATTTTGATTTAACTTAATAATTATCTTTTCGACATGGATGGTTTTAGAAGAAAAAAAACGAAACCTTATGTACATGAATATATTTTGAAATCTGTTAAAGAAAAGTAATAAGATCCTGACTAATATACGAAAAATTGCGAAAAGTATCTTCTGGTGTTGATAACAATAAAAGAGCATCTTTTGGATCGAGTTCAGATAATTGTGGAATTTTTGTTTTTGTTTTAAAAGATATCAAGGACTAAAATTAAATTGAAAAACTAATATCAATTATTTTTAATAATGTTTATACATACAGTAGGAGTCCATGGTGGACGAACAAGTCGATTTTCAATCGCATCGAATGTGTATGGTTCTCTATAATATATATGTATACATATGTAAATGAATAATTAACGTATTAATAAAATAATTACTTACCGAAAAAATGGCTGATCTTTTAATAATCCATGTGGAGAAATAATATTTCCTAATCTTCGTTTAGGATCTCGTTCAAGTAAACCAGATATAATTTGTCTTGTTTCTTTGATCATTGTTTCTGGATAACTAACTTGATCTGAAAGAACATTTCGTGTTATATCTGTACTATTATTAGCATAAAATGGTGTTTTAAAAGTTGATAATTCAAATATTAAAATTCCTAATGACCACCAATCAACATTTTCATCATAAGAATCTCGATGATAAATTTCATAAGCGATATATTCAGCTGTACCACACATTGTTCTTGTTTTATGATTATTATCAACATTTTGTTTTGATAAACCAAAATCACCAAGTTTAACATGTCCATTGTCAAAAAGAAATACATTTTCAGGTTTTAAATCACGATAAACCTATATGAAATAAATATTCTATTCTATTTTAATATATTCAAAAGAAAAAAGAATAAAACATACAATACGTTTTGAATGAAGAAAGATAAGTGCACATATTATTTCACCAGTATAAAAAACAATTCGATCTTGTTTAAATGGTTTAGGTGCTTGATATTCAAGAATATTAAATAATGTTCCAGCTCGAGCAACTTCCATTAGAAAAAAAAGTCGTTCAACATTTTGAAATGCATAAAAAAGTTTAACTATAAATGGATTTGATCGACATTGAATAAGAATATCTCGTTCAGACTTAACATATTCAAGATTTTGTCCTTCTAATATTAAATTTTTACGAAGAGTTTTCATTGCATAATAACATTCACCACGTTTTACTAAATATACCTACAATTCAACAAATTTTATTTTAATCATTTTAAAATAGATCAGAGTTATTTTTATAATCATTCGACAATACTATGATATTCGTCTAACATACTCAAATTAATCAATTTATATTAATCAACTCAAATTATTAATAATGAAGCTCGTTTAGTTAATTAAATAGTTTCTCAACGATTAATTTCTTTTTTCAATGATAAATAACTTTCTTAACAAACATTCTCACTTGTTTCCAGACAGAAAATTTTCAGACTTTTCATTTTTATAGTTTTTCTTGTCTATAAAGACGTTTCGAAGTATTCTCTACCTATTGAACATATTTCAAGAATTCATATATGACTATATGTGTCAAAAAATGAAAAAAATAAAATCAAGCATCGCGCATCTATTTCTCGAGTAAAGTACATTCAATTGAGTTGAAACTTTTTTCTATTTAAACTGGAAATGGTTTAGGATGCTTTCTTATTATCTTTTTGTTTGAAAATATGAATTATTACTGACTTTTGCCAGAGTTTACAAAAAACCTCGACTTATAAAATCAAAAAAGAAAAACATGAATTTTATGCGGGTAAGCTAAACGCGTTTTAATCTTTTTTGTTCTAATGGAAAACGAAAAAAAATAAAGGAAAAAAGTAGATATACCAAACAATATTTAGTATCTGGAGAAAAAATAATTTTAACTCTATCAGACTTATTGAAGCTGAGAAAATTGGACTATTAGTGGAGCGACTCTTAGTCTTTGCGATCTCGATTTCGAATAGAGAGAAACATTTACGAATTATGAATCTATGAAAACTTTTGCTCTACTGATCAAGATCAATCTACTCTGAAAGTTTCACAATTTTCTCATGAATCATTATCCAGAAGTGCTAGAAACAGAGCTGAAGGATGGGGAAGGTGATTCCCTATAGTTAAGTTAAACTTTGTTACATATTACTGAAAATTAATATGAAGAAAAAAAGTTGATTGGAATCGAATATCTCTTGACAACGAGGATTTGCTTCGTTAATATCTTAGTTGTTAGAGTGTCTATATCTGTGAAAGTTAATGTATCTCTTGTCTTCTGATTATTTCCAGTAAGTAATTTTTTTTTTCATTGAAAAAACTGAATGGAGAAAAAAAAAGAGAGAAATGTTGGACGAACCGATCCAGTCATTCCAAAGCCTAATGTTGTTAAAAATTGAATTTCATTCATTTGAAAACCTGAAGTTGTATTTGAATGATGAAGTTTTGACATACGCTGAATAACTTCTTTAACATTATTTAGTTGATCAAATCTATCAAATCTTGAATAGATTTCACATAAATCTCCATTATATTGATAATTATAATCTGGATCTGATTTATGCTAAAGAAAAAAATTGAATAAAAACAAAAAAACATAAAGATTGTTTTTCATAAGAATAAAAATACTTTTTTTTTCCATATTTCATAAGCTTCTAAAGCATTTCCTTGATATCCACAATAATCTCCAACTTTTGATCGACATCGTCGATGAACAACCATTGAACATTCTAAAAATATTTTATATTTAAAAATTGAAAAATAAATAAATGAAATTACCCATGCATTTATATGAATGTCCTGGTTTAATAAAACTTCCATCATGATCACAAAAAATTGTTTGTAAAGAAAATTGTTGCTGTTGAAAATGATGCTCTTTCATCGTTTCAACCTAAAAGAAAAAATAATTATCAAATAGAAAGAATTTTTTTTTTATAATTTTTATCTTAATTGAATATTTTCTAAGTTCGTTTAGAAATTCTTATTTAATCAATAAATAAAACTTACATCTGCATACTGTTTTCTAGTGCATGCATGTACACCACGATCATAACAATCCTTATGTATAACACAATCACATCGTTGACATTGAAAACCTTTATAAGCGAAACCCCTTTGAATAAAAATAATTTCTTAATAATTAACATATTCAAACAGTTTATACCAGAGAAGATCACCACAAATCGAACAAAATGGTGGAGTTTTGAATATTTTTTCAACAAATCGATGACCAAAATGTTTAAGAACACTTTGATAACGTTCAGCATAACGTTGACCATGAGGTTTTGTTTGCAATTGAGAATCTTTAGGAATAGATGGATCTAATTTATTGAATTATTAATAATATTAGTTAAAAAGATAAATTCAATAAATTAACCTTTATATTCAATTACTATTTCTGCTTGAGCTTTTGGTGCAAAACTAATCTATTACGAGACAAGCATATACATTTNCACACTGAAAAATCGATTTCGCGCCAGATACATTCAAATCGTCTGAAACTTAGAGTATATGTTGAATCTGTTATGGAGAAGTCGTAGTAAAATTTTCAGAACTATACATTGATATTTGACAAAGATACTCATCAATCAAGAGTCAACAATACCTCATTGAGCAAACCAGATTTCTCTGTCCAGGTCTGTTTTTATGTAATTAGTTTGTCTTTTTTGTTTGTTTGAAAGAGCATCACAGGAGGCAATGAAGTACAGAGCCAATTTTTTTTTAATTGCAACTTCTTAAGCAGAGAACATGGATTACATTAAAAATGAACGTCTATTAATATAAGTGTTTGCATATGTTATAAAAGCAAAGCTTAATTGTAAAAGAAAGATTTCTGTACTCTAGTACACCATGATATGTTCTTTGAAACAAACAAAAAAAATTAAATATATCGAATGACAGCTCATAGAGAAATCTATGGTGTGCAATCAGAAATAGCATAAGCAGAGAAAAAACGAAAAACATTTTTGGGTTTTTTTAAAATGACTACTGTTTTTTAAGCATACGATGATGAAAATCATCGATAACTTTGACGCTAAATACAAAAATGACGTTGTTTCTGAAAGAATAGAACTCATGCTCCTTCCATTCATTTATTTGAGGGTTCATTTTTTTGACGAAAATCAACTTTCTTTGGGAGGAATGGAGGCTTTAAATTGCAATTCATTTATTAAAACAATTATTTTCTGTGTGATTATTACCTTCGAAATGGTTATCATTGAAATAATCTCGCACAATCTTGTCTTCTTGAATGTTTTCGTTTTTTCATCGGTGTGGTTGACGTCCTAATATGTTTTTCTCTTTTCAATTGATGAAGGAAATAATGTTATTAAAGTTCATAAGTTTCGACATATAAATAATAGTTGGCTTATTTTACTAAATTGTACTTCCAATGATAATTCTATTTTTAATTTAATGCCAGTGTGCATTGCACAAAGTGTGCCGTTGACAGATGTTGGTATCTGGTAATGATGTTTCTTTTTTCTGAAACACGAAAAATGAAATCGGAATCGAAATTCTAAAAGTATTTCGGATACGAGAAATGGAAAATGAGAAAATTCGTTCTCGCAGGATACTAACATATATAGATCCAATTTGATAACATTGCCTTTCTTCCTGTATGTTTAATTCTGTAGGTCTCGGATAGTTGATCGCTCAACAGTATTCACGAAGAATTGATGATTAACCATTCACATCGTGTGGGTCTTGTCAGTCTCATTCATAGAGAACCATCTATTTAAAATAGTAAAGCATTGGATAAAAATGGTTCCCGAACGTTGTGTAGAGCCTTCAGCAAGCTATAAAATTTGTAAAAAATGAAACTACTTTTCATCATGGGTCGCAATCACTTTACCGAAAATAGCTTTGCCGACAAATTGTTTTGCTGACATGTACACTTTGTCGACAATTTATTTCGCCGACAAAAAATTGAAGTCAAAAATAAATTTAAATTTATTGTAGATACAGTGATATATATGTCAGCGTTCATACTTGAAAGCGTCCAATCTCGGATTCGTCTAGGCCAATGTCACATTGGACGTACTATTTTCAGGCGAATCTTAGATTGCCTAGGCTAGTCCGAGGTTGGACGTATATGCGGGCATGAACGTGATATATATACATAAAGAGATAAAAGAATCCAGAATTCAAAATGTTATTGCTGACCGTGGTAATAGATCAACTATGGATTTTCTTCGGGGCATTGTCCATAATCTTTCACTTTGAGTATTTGTAATTTTGATTAAAAGAATTTAAAAAGCTCAAGAAAATAAAGAATTTTCTAAAAAACAATTAATCAGTTTTTATTAATATTAACAAATTTTGCCTGTAAAACAAGTTGTCGACAAAGTGTACATGTCGGCAAAAAGTACGTGTCGGCAAAGTTATTTTTGGCAAAGTGATACGGACCCAGTTTGATAACTACTAATTAAGCTATTGTGTAGAAGAAAACTTTCTTTAAAGAACGCATTAAAATTCTTCTGATCTGTAAGAGTTTACCATGCACAAATATCAATTATATTTTTTTAAAAATGGCGCATTTTTTCTTAGTCATCTGAACTGTCTTTATTACAAGTGTCGTCTTTATCATTCTCGCTGCTTTTGTTGCTTTCCGTGATTTCAACGCTATTTTGTTCCTCATCGCAATTATCATTCTCGTTGCTATGTTGACTTTCATCATTGTTTTTGTTTTCATTGTTCTGTTGGTTCTCAGCGTTATTATCACTTTGGTTAAGACCACTCTTGAAAAGGTCTCCATTAAGCATGCTTGTCGTAGGTATAGTCAGACCTAAACGACCAAAAGGATTTCCCGTTGATTTCATTAAATGAATGGGATTAGCCATGCCGAGCATTTGTGGTACAGTTGACCCTAATATTTCTTCTGAAGTAAAGGCTTTCAATTCTATTTTGACAACACCGCTAGGGTCAGTTCGATCGATTTTTGTCACTATAAATATCGAGAGAGGCAAAATTAGCACCTCTTCTTCTTCCGGAAATGCGGAGATGCCTGCTAAATCAACACATAATGTATTGTTGGTATCCATAATAAATGTGAACAAAGCAGACATTTTCCCAACTTCAGGTTCTGTAGCAAATTTTTCAGCAACTGACCGTAGCTTCGATGAAGACGAAAAAGCTTTTTGAATAACGATTGAATTGACTTTATAAAGTGACAAATCACGCTCTGCAATACTAAGCCCACGATATGTGCGACCGATAAAACATTTCAAAGATGATCCAAAACTAGCGACACCCTTCAATATAACACTAGTAAAATAAAGTGGCCAATCTATTGTTTCATCATTATGATTCTCATCAGTCGTAATAAGCATTGCTGTTAAGTACTCTGTTAGATTGTTCGAGGTAGATAAATTTGAGAGCTTTCTATTCAATGTTCCGTAGAATGTGCTCTCGATTGTGTAGGCATGAATAAGATGGGTAATGTCAGATGTGGATCGAGCTAATTCAAGTGCTTTGTAGACGTCATTGATATTTTCATCGTTTTTAAGTTCGTCGGCCGTCTTGATTTTATCTACAGTATCCGCTATGGTAGAAGTTGGCAGACGACTCACCAGTTCAATTCGAGACACTATACTCGTCCAACCTGTTAAGATAAACTCGCTCTGAATCGAATCAGATTTGAATCGATTTCTGAGTAGATTGAGAGAACGTTGTTTATATTTAGTGATGGCATTGTCTATTTTCAGCGTCAAATCTGCGGAATACGGAATCTTAGCACTAAGAAGACGCTCCTTCGAACGATTGAATCTGCGTCTAATAGATAAACTGCTTGAGCTGCCCATGTCAATAGCTATACAAAGAAATTTTTAAAAAATTAAAAAATATGGTTACTATTTTCCTTCTTATTGTTACTTTGCACGTTTCTATAGACGAAAAAATCACCATTCACAAACGAGAAAGACCATTCTCATGATACTAATGTAGCGTATTGAACTACTTCAGTTGTCACAGCTATTAGAATATAGTAGGATGTAGATGTGTGGATGTGATAGTCTTCATTTTGTCCTTACGGCAAATCCACACCTTAATCTTTAGAAAAAATACAGGAAGGTAAAATTGAAAGCCTCTATGGTATATGAGAAATTCCAAGTATTTATTGAGTGCATAAGGGACACGAAACCAACTTGGATTTTTGGCGATCAGTACCAGTTCGAATAGATCTGACTAATCAGTGTAAAATCTGAACTGGCCAGTTAGTTACCGATACCAGTTCCACGTATGGGTATTATTACGGGTGTGTGTACGTCGTCTCTTAACCCACATTCTCTACGTTAAGATTCTTTTAAGTTGATAAGCAACACTTCGATTTGAAAGTAGATAATGTGGGTTCAGAAACAGAAAGCCTTCACTAACCTCGTAGCCGTCACCAACTGCTTATCAACTCACCGTTTTCATCCACCCTTACACTTATTTCATCCTTCAAGGTTCATGTGAAAAATAGTCAATAGAACGAGAAAGAGTGATGATCAAAATGAAGTGTTCTTTACTTCCCATGTGAAACAGAGATGCCTTCAATTTTTCCAGCATCAACTTTTTTCTTCCATTTTTCAATATGATGCATTAGTCACGAAAAAAAATTTGAAGTGGTTTATTGATTTTCAGTTACTTCAAACAAAAAAATATATTGCATCGCGAATTGAAACTTGTTCTTCTACAGCTTTCTGTTTATTTTAAGATGCCATTTGTTATTGAAATAGAGTTGACTGAAATTCAATTCCAGGTTGCAATCTCACGAAGTTGTAGGTTCGATTTGGCTGAAAGAAAAAACATCGAAGAAGCAATAACAAAAAAAAATGTCGATCTTATAAAAGTAGCAAAGAAATATATACTCCTAAGAAATCTCACAAATGTTTCAGATGTCATTAAGGGGAACCCCCCCCTCAGAAAATTGATTTTTTTTGAAAAAAATCGATTTTGAGATAAGCACATATGCTGAAAGCCCAAAGTGTCCTCTTTCAGATTATGTATGATTTGTTGCACTTTCAATGGTTTTGGGCTGTGAAAATAGCGGTTTTCTGGGAGCACTGGTAGAAATATAAGGTTTTATCAGAAATTTTTTTAGTTAGGGAGATGTGACAGTGATCAACAAACTTGTAGATTTTGTTTAATGAAAAAGACATATACATTCTGTTATATTAATTAATTAGAGGAACGTAGTCATTTCTGCTTAAGATCCTGCATACATGATGAAATTGCCGTATAGAGGTCGTGACAGTCATAGTGAAACTCAAAATTGTTTCATACAAACTTGTTGATTGGTTTTCTCAAAATCACTGTTTTGGAGAGTTAGGAACAGTGTTTCCAATGGCAAGTGTACCAAGCAGAAACAAAATGTACGGAACATCTGCTACTTTTGATTTACACTCTGTTGTATACTTGCCCAGAAAAACAAAGTGTACAATGTACACTTTGCTAAAATTGTTTACACTTTGATTTCTTTGATTTTTGAACCTTAAAAGCCACATATAGTTTTAAATTAATTAAAGATTACGTTTATTTGTTCGCTAGAGATCAAAATGTTTATCTCATGAAAGAAAAAAATGTCGAACATTATATTTTGTTTTTCAGATTGTGAAAATTTGGCTTTCGTACACTTTGATACATATTGCTGAAAAAAATAAAGTATAAAATACACTTTGCTAATAAAATACAGAGTGTACAGTACATTTTGCTTTAAATTTCCATTGGAAACACTGGTTGCACCATTGAATAACAGTTAAAATAATTGTCTTTTTTCTACTCTTTACAGTAATATTTTTTCTTAGTTTAATCTATTTAATTGATAAGTAATATCGATTTAAATAATAAAAATGATCAACACTAATCAACATCATTGTTTTTTTATCCACTTTCACTATGTGACTTATATAATGAGCAGTTAATAATAGTATCACAAGATAAAAAGAAAACACAACTGAACAGATGATTATCTTTTTATTGTATCTTACAGTTTTTCGATCTTTTTCTGTTGATTAATTAATTAATATCTCAACAGATCATTGTTTCTTGTCACAATAGCAAAAGACAGTGTAGAGTCTTTTTTCAGAAATTTATTTTCGTAGTTTTATCTTCTTTGTTCAATATATAAACTATCATATTGATTTTTAAACAACTGGAAAAATGCAAGGGATATTCCATGAGATCTCTAACAAAAACTCTTTCAACATTTATAGATCAGATCATTATTTAATTCGTATCCATAATACTTATTTTCATCTTACATTTATGGCATAGATTTATCTTCACAGTACATATATATGTATAGGATATGTTTCTATCTTGTATACGATTAAATTCCAAGCCTTTTAATCCTTTTCGTTGAAAAGATACAAGTATTGTAAAATTTCATAGAGATTTGTCAATTATTATTATTGTTCACGAGTTCTAGAACATATAAAAATTTGATTTAAATTAAATAATTTTTAAGAAAAATTTTACTATAGATATAGCTTACATGAAAAGCTATATTCACAATCACCAAGCTGAATTTAATCAACTGACCTAGAATGTAGTTGAATATCTAAGACTAGTCTAAACTTGCTTAGCTTCAATCTTACCTTTCAATATACATTTTCATTGGATAGGCTAATCGCTTTCAAATTAATCACTTTCCAAATCATCCACAAAGAATTAATCAAAAAGCTACTGATATTAAAGATATATACTCTGCATCTAAAAAAACGATCTGAGAAAAGTGACAAGCAATTAATTTGAAATTGATTAATGTATCGAATGAAAATGTCTATTGAAAGCTAAGACTGAAGTTAAGCAAGTTCAAACTAGCCTTAAACATTCAGCTACATTCTAAATTAGTCGGTTACTTTAGCTTTATGCTTGCGAGTATAGCTTTTCAAACTCTCTCTATGGTGAAACTTTGGTGAAAAACGATTTAGTTTGAGTCAATCTTTTATGCATTTGAAAATTTGTGAGCATCATTAATAATTGACAAATTTCTAGGCAATATTACGATACTCGTAACTTTTCAACAATAAAGATTAAAGGGTTTGGAATTTAATAGCATAGAAGATAAGAACACCTTGAATGTGAATCTTTGTCATAAATGTAAGATAAAAATAAATAAAATTTATAATGCAAATCAAAACTTAGTGAACATGGTTTAGACTGTTTTTTGAAGAATAGATTATTCTATAAAGTGTTCGAGATTTCGAACTGTCGTTTTTTTTTTCGTCTGATAAAATAGAAATCGAAGAAAGAGTCATATAATCTTAGTAGCTGATATGTTTACAAACTTGCTAATATATAAGATAATATCTATTAGTTTTTCTCAATAAAGAATTATAAAGTATTTAAACGAGTATTTTGTTTTGACGACAATCAAATAAATGAAACATCATTACAAAAGTCTCATTGTCGATAAACTATTTTATCATTTTAATCATGGTTTTCCAATATGACTTTTTTTTTCGAATAATGAATAATAATTGTAATTTGCTTTATTCATTATAACTATCGATTAATAAAAAAAGATTTTTCTTTTTATTTAAAATAAAAAAAATGATTCATTGATTAAAAATTTAAAAAAGAAGAAAAACATGAATTCACTGAAAATATGAATCTTATAAAATTTTCAATTATAAAACAAAATGTTTACAATAGAAAAATGCATATTAATTAAATAATTATTGTTTTTCCAAAAATTTATAAACAAGATTCATATCGATTGGTTCTAAGAAATGTGTTCCTTAAAAAAAGAACATAAAGAATTTTAAAATAGATCAAGAAAAAGATCGCTGTATATGTTACCTTGAATAGCCGTTTCATCTTCTCCATCAATAATTGGTCGAACCCAAGTTGATTTTCTTGATGTCTGAAGACCAGTTGCTGTTGGTGGATATATATAATAAACAACATCAAATATGATTTCTTTTGTTAATGAATCATTTTTCTGTTGTGGATAATCTATATAACATAAATAAATTTATAAAATAAATAAATAACGAAGAAATATTTACGTTGAAGAACACCTATTAAAGCTTCTTTTATTTCATCAGGTGTTGCTGATAAATCACAACATTCAAAGAATTTTTCTAATTCATTTTCATCTAATTTATCATTAAAGGAAAGTGCTTTATAAATAGTTATTAATTCTATTTAAGACAAACAAAAACAAACTAAAATAATATTTAAATAAATCGAAGAAAATAAACTTTTTTCAGTAGTAAGAAAATCTCTTGCTTGGTCCATATTAAATATAAATTTTTTATATTCTGATTGACGCATTTTTTGAATACGTTGAACAACTTGACGATAACGAGAAGAAAATTCAAACCATGTTATACCAAAATTAGATACCTTTTTTTTTTTTTATGAATAAAAATAATTTTTATAAGAAATAAATGAAATAGTAAAAAAGAAAGGATACTTCTTTTTTTAAATAATTCCATCTATGTCTAACAATAAATCCTCTCCACCATCGTTGAATACATGTTGCAGCTCGATTAAGTGTCAATTTAGAAAATTGTGCATCGACTTGATTAAAATTTCTGAAAAAAAGAAATTTAATATCGATTAATAATAAATAAATAAATAATTTACGCAAATATTTGAAGAGATGGTCCTGTATTATCAAGCATTTTTTTATATTCTTTATTTTCATCTCGAATTCTAAATGTAATAAAAAAATAAATAAAATGAATCTATAATAATTTGTTAATTTAACCTTGTTTCTTCAATTAATTGTTGTTCAACATATTGTGCTCGTTTAGCAGAAAGAATTCTTCGATGATCACGTTCTTCTTCACGTCTTTTACTTGCTGATGGACGACGATTTTCAATTTGTTTTCGTCGATTTAAATGTTCTCGATATGCTCTTATTCATATTAAAAAATTTAAATTGAAAATAAAATTATTTTTATTTTTATTTTTAAAATACCGTTGAATTTTAATTGCAGCTTTTTGTTCTTCTTCACATTTTTCTCTTTCATTAGCAGATAATTTCTTTTGAATATTTTCAACAACAAATCCTTTAAATGCACGTTTTACATCGACATCATTTCTTGCTTGCCGGTAAATCGATGTTGAATAATTATATTCATCCTTTAACATTTTATTAAAATTATTCAAAAAAAAAAAGAACAAAGGAAAATTTTTCTTACAGGATCTTGTGTAAGAAATACACTTGGAATTGGTCTCCCTTGTTGTTTCATATGTCGATTACGAGACGAAAGCATATTTGAACTGGTTATTATAGAAGTTGGAAATACAAGACGTCTTTGATTGGATTTTCTTCGTTGACGCATTTGATCAACTTCTTTACAAGCAAAACAAAAAACAAATTTAATAAAAGAAAGTAATCATTCAAAAATAAATCAATCAAACCTTGTTGTGTTCGAATATTAAGGACACTTAAATTATATTCCATTCGTTGTTCATCTTTCAATCTATAGTATATCAAAAGTATATTTTTACAATTTATCACATACAAATATACAATTCTATATAATAATATTATATTTTCCTTATATTATTGAAATTTATCTTTTTTGTTTATATTCAAAGATTAAATTACATTTTTTATGAAAAAGATTTTAAAAATATTTCGGCATCAAGCTGAGTCAGATGGTAAACCTAGTTTTTGTAACCCATTCAGCATGATATAATCAAAATGATATGTTTATTCTATTCATTTATAATAATTCTAATTGTATGTTTTATGAAAAAAATAAAATAAGTATCAAAATTAAAAACTAAAAATGATCTATAAATCGATCTTATAGCATACTCAGTTTTCGTTTTAATCTACGATTAATTAACTAAATTGCATAATGAACAAGATATGAAATCATTATTAATAATGCAATAAAGATAATGTAGTATTGATCACTTGTTTATTGGTAAAGTGAATCCACTGATGATGAATCTATACTAATCGTATATTTATTTTTCACACTGTGTCAACGTCTTTATGTTACCATCATCTAGTACAGAGCTCACACACAGGCCTCAAGACTGTCAAAGTATGAGAAAATATTTGACAGAAGTAATAAAAATTCGAAAAAATGTGCTTGTCATACTGGTCAATAACAAATAATTTTCAATAATTGTGGAGTGTAGAAATTCCTTGTCGCTCTACATCACTTTCTCAATTTCTAAATCAGCGATGCAAAAGAAAACAAGTTACAGTGTTATGTTCATCACAATTACTATTTAACATGAAACGAGATGTATAGATCATATCTGTGACTAATTTCGTGTTTCTTTTGTTTTTGTTGAAATAAATATTCGTAATGAGAGAAAAATAAAATCATACTGATCAGAAGGATTTGCTTGTGGATCAGTTGAATTAACGAAAGTTGAAATATCTTCTAATTGACTTGGACATGCTTTTGATGATGTTCTTATTGAATTAGTATGTTTAACAAATGACTGTTGTTCAGATGGAGAATAAAGTGATATGACTAAACGATTTGGATTTTCTAATGGTTTTATTTGAATAGATTCTTCAATAGATGCTTCATTTTCGGGTTTTTCAAATGTTGTTTGTCTTTCAACACGTATTCGTTTTGATTTTGTTAATTGAAGTGTTTGAGATATATCAATTAACCTATGACAAGAACGAGATGCACGTGGTTCAAATACAGGTTGGCCATTTTTTCTAAATATTTAATTAAATAAGATAAATGAAAAATCGTATGTTTGAAAATAAAATAATACTTTGGATAATTTCGTTGTATTTGATCGACAGAAAGTTTAGCAGATTGATTAGCCTCACGTGGTCTTGCTAACATTTGAACAGGAATAAATGGAATACCTATTTTGGCACTTATCATCGGATCATAATTTTCTAAAAGTTCTAATTGTGAAAGTGTTAATTGTGTTAATTGTTCAGTTGTTTGATTTCTATTTAAATTTTGATTTGTTTCAGGTATTGTTCGGTAAATTTGTTTTGATGAACTTCGAATGAGTTTATAATTTCGTTTATTTGATAATGGATCTGGTGAAAGATTTTCACGAGCTTGTGAATCATTTGTATACATTGTAAATGGTGTTGTACTTGTTGATAACATTGGAACTGGTGTTGAATGAGGATTTATTTCTCTTGTTTTTAATATTTCGTCATTATTTTCACTTCCAAGACTTAAACAGGGTGGATCAACTAAACAACGATTATTTTATTATATTAACATTTATTTATTGTTTTTACGTACTTGAATTTTCAGCACTTTCACTACTTTGAGCTCGATCAGTTTGATTTGTATCTGTATTCTACAAGTTTTTTTTACAGACATTTAAGCAATACAAAAGAAGAATTTTTTTATTTGATCAATAACCTGTTTAACATTCGTTTCATCAATACGAACATTGAGTGGATAACTTCTTTGTCGTTGTTTATTATTTGATGGATTTTTTAATACTGAAGTAACTGGTGCAATAATCATTTTTTCTGATGATGCTGATGGAATATCCTATTTTTAATTTTCAAATTTAAAATAAGAAAAATAAATCAAAATGATTAACAACTTCTTCTTTTTGAGAATCATTAATAAGTAAACTACCAGATGATTCAGGTCGAGATTTTGAAAAATTACTTGCAGCTGTACAAGGTCGTTGAGGAGATATAACTGATGCTGAATGTTGTCGTCTTGATCGATTTCGAACACTTGAAAAAATAACAAATAATATTTAAAAGAAAAGAAAATGACAATATTGATTTATAAATAAAATACTCAGGTAAATTCGGTTGACTAATTTTTCCTCTCCAATCTTTGAATTCATTAATTTTTGATGTTGTTGTTATTGTTGTGCTTGATTTTAAATGAGTACGACTAACTCGTGATCCTTTATCATCCATAAGATCACTACTAACTATTTCAATCATTGGTGCATTTGAATAATTATCATCTGTTAGAATATCATTTAATCGAATTCGATCACTTAAAACAATAGAAAAAAAAAAGAAAAAGAAAATTCGATTATTTTGACGTTTTCTTTTTATAATTTCAATAAAATAAAAAAGTACGTGGCAATATGTTGTTGACCAAGTAAAATTGGTGCTTCGATTGGATGATATTCATATGGTTCATAAGTTAATCGAGCAGATGGTAAACGAAAACCACGTATTGCTTCAAGACCAACCTTAATTAATAAAAATGTATTGAAATAAAATATTAAATAAAATATTAAAATACATAAAATAAAGTGTATTCAATCAAACGGTGTATTAAGTTAGTCACACATTATTTGAAATGAATACCTTTTCTTTACTCTGACTCATTTTATCTCCTACATTAGAAGCTATATTACACATATCTGCCAATGTTAAACGTTCACCAATCTTTGTTCTATGTATAGGACTAGAGATTAATTACAAAAAATTTTATCGACATTTTTTTATTTGCTTTTAAAATAAAATACAAAAAAAAAACAAACCTTTCTTCCCATTGAAAATAATTTTCACTAAAACTTGATTCTCGCCCCGGCATCATTGATGTCATACGTGAGATTTGTTCATCAGCTGTATTAAAAAAGTCATCTAATGCATATTCAGACACTAAAAAAAAAAAGTGATGTATTTTTTTGTTGTTGTCTTTTTTTGAATTATGAAAGAAAAATGATGAAACCTCGTGATCGTTGTTTGCTTGATGAAATTCTTTTTTTAATTGTTATTCTACTAGTTGGTGTACTCAATGCACGTCTTATTTTTTGATCATCATATCTTAAGTCACCTGGTGTTCCACTTCGACCACAAAATTGATTATGAATCATTTGTTGAACATAAATAGAAACTTCCTCAGCTGCATGTTGACTTGGAAATCTTTTTGAGTTTGGTCTTTTTACTGACTCTGATGTTGTTTCTTTTAAATTTCCTGCTTCAACAAGACTTTCTGGTGGAGCTCGAGAATGTCGAGTTGGTGTTAATACACGTGTACGAACAGAGTGTTGACGAGTGGAATTCGGCACTTCATTTATATTTAAATATGGATTAAATAAAGTTGCTGCTGTGCTTTTCCATGGTTCCGGATATTGTCCAGTACTTGTCATTTTTATTAGAAATCCTATATTCAATTGAAAAATTCAATTTCTTTTTTCATTTCTCTTTCATATGTTAAGGTATGTCCTCTCTAAAAATGTTCTTTAGCATTTTTATTGGTTTAGAAGAGACCATTAGAAATAAAACAATAAAAATAATAGTAGTAGGTAGTTGTAGTAGTAGTAGTAGTAGGACCATCTTTAGACATTCCCTAATTAATTGGATATTGTCTTTTCGATATTTTAAGATGAACATGAACATCAGTAGAATGAGAAGAACAATGATTTGGAAATATGTACTTGACTACTATTCATTTATAAGCTTTGCCATTTCTAATCCTAATTTATATGTATCTGTTAATCAGTTAAAAATGATTATACGTTCATTGTAAGTGCGACAAAAGACATTGAAAACAATGAAGCAAAAGTCCGTAAAATAAAATATTTTTGCTTTATCCGACAATCATCGACTTGATGAAATAATATTCAAATGATTTTTGTTATTAGACAAATACTTTAAGAAGATTACGAAAAGAAATTGAAATAAAGTCGAATGCTGTAATCTTTTAAACTGCAAAATGATGTTCTCTTTGCACGGTATTTTTCGTATAGTTTCTTGTATTTTATCTTTCGGCGTGTTCTTGAATAAAAGAAAATGTCGATAACAAAAAAAAACAAAAATGAAATCGACAAAAAAAGGATGTTGTGTGTAAGTAACCCAAAGTAAATTTTTCGAACAAATCTATCTATCTTCTGTTATATCATCATCATTCACGTTTGGAGTCACCAAAGAACTTTTGCTAGAAATAAGAAACTTTAGGTTTGCTAATATACAATAAAACTTAAATAATTGTACCCAATGAAATCTTGTGTCATGAGGCCATATATTGACATTCACATCTATGGAAAAGTAAGATATTTACATAACAAAAAAAGGTTGCCCTACTTAAAATGGTTTCATTTAATTGATTAGAAAAAGAAGAATTATTTCGAAATGAAATCGATCTTGCCTTTATCAACTCATTTGAAATTGATCCTTGTAATGAATAAAGTTTTTGTTCAAATACTCTCTGAAGTTTATCTTCATCTTCACTCTTTATGCTACAAGAAAAAAAAATCATGTCGAATCATTTCATAGTAAAGGAAACAAACAAATTGGTGCTTATATCCTCTCATCTGCAGATGTTTTTTTCTTTTAATTACTTTTTTCTGGTGAGCGTCCTAAGAATATGAGATTTCTGAACCAGAACTTGGAACTCTTTTAGTCTTAGCAAAAAAAGATGAATACTTTAGGAAAAGAATCACTTAGATGAATATTGACCACTGTATTGTATTATGAATGCATAAGTAATGGTCAAATCTTTACGCCATGTACAACTCAAGATTTTCTAGAAAATAAAAATAAAATCAACTTTAACAACTACTTAATTAAAGAGTACTACCTATAATTATAAAGGACTCAGTTATACACTTATTTTTTAGTATATCTGAAAGATTGTTTAACCTGTAGTTTCACAATGATTTCCTGCTAAAAGGTGATGCTTTTATGATCGGTTTAGTTTCATGCAGTCTATCAAAATAATTAAAAAAAGGTCGAAAAAACAAACGTGAATGTGTCTATATTTATGGTTCGAACTTCTGCGCGAAACTGAACTTTTTATTATTGGTGAAAGGCCATTATTTTTAAAATACGGTCGTTTCAACATAAAATACGGAAAAAACGGCTAGTATTTCTAGATTATGTTAATTAAAAAGAATGTTTTTTTATTGAAAATAAACATGATGTTCGAAATCAACATGCAAAAATACATCGGAAACTCTACATTGATTCGCGAAATATGTCGGATTAAAATTTTTGCTCTATTCTCCAGTACCTTTTATTCTTAAAATTTTACGCAATAGCCTTCTAGAGACAAAATTTGCTTCGAAGTCTTATCCAATAAAATATAGTGTACAGTGTCTTTTTGCACACTGATTCCGAAAATTATGCTTATTTCCAACAAAAAAAAACAACTCTTAATAATTAAAATCTTAAAATACTAGCCTTTTTTAGGTATTTTACGTGGGAGTGACATTGTCATAAAAAGAATGATCTTTTCACTAACATTAAAAAAGTTCAAAGTCTAGTTTTGTTATTCCGTATCATCATACCACTCACAACCAAATAATAGTTCAACAAAAGAAAAACTAATGAGTGAGAGAGTATTATTCATGAAAAAGGCACCACTTCTTTTGCAAAGAATATTGCATACTAATTATATTGTTGATGATCGGCATTGAACTGGACTTTTCAACGAAATCCAATTGGATTAGTACCATCTTGAATGTAGAAACAACTGTACAATCAATAAATATATTTACATTACTTTTTCCTGTTATCTATGTGGGACTAACTAGAAAATAAACGGATATTAGTAAAATACGCTCTCACCTATTCTGATCGCCGTTTAATTCGAAGATAGTATCAATCAATAAAGCATAAAATTCTCCATTCATAAGACCCCAATCCAACCCATTTTCTTTAAAAATTCCTAGAAAGAAGAATCAAATATCATTTTTATCAGTCTACTCTCACTCAGATCTTAACAAAAGGGTGTCGGTGGGTATGGAGTAGGTTTGGGCTGTGTGTGGAGTAGAGTGTGAGGTTGGCTTTCGCTGTGTGTGTGTGCGGGGGGGGGGGGGGGGGGGGTGGGGGGGGGGGGGGGGGGGAAGGGATGGGGGTGGGGGGGGGGAGGCGCCCCCACCACACAAACACAAAAGGCCATCCATTTCACCCC